TTTCCTGTTATACTCGACTCATTTCATAAAACTAAATTAGTATATACTATCGTTAGAAGGTCAGAAATGAACAATGAATATGTTCTCTTATTGCACTTTTTAATCTTGTCTATGCTGATTTCTTTGTCATCAAATGTAATAATATCTTTGCTCTATAAAGAATGAATTCTACATACATGTAACTATATTATCAGCTTTTACAATACCCGCACAAAAAGAACTATTGGAGCGTTTAAATTAATGTATATTAATCTATATTAATCTATATTAATCTATATTCGGACAATAATACTGTAATAATTCGTTTTCCCAATAATTATTATACTTTTTCTAATAGATAAAAAGGCGATACTCCACAACTTCTTTCCTTGTGGAATAAAAAGAGATTGACGTCATATGAATAAACTATAAAAATTGCATATGTTAAAAATACTGATGTTATAATGTATATATAATTGAATAAAAATAACGTACAATAAATAACGCATTAGTGTTATTGTTAAAAATGCATTCTTCCTTGATTACAGGTTCTTTTTTCTTCTATTGACAATAGGTTATCTATTATTAAATCTTCTTTCTTCATTTCTGACTCGCCAGTTTTCTTTTGTGACTTAGTTTCTTCTTATTTTCCTGCATCGAAAGTGTATTTCCCTTGTAAATTGTGATTCTCATTGTTAGTTTCATGAAGTTCCGTACAACCTGATAAAGTTCCGAATATTCTGTTTGATTTACTTTGCAAATAACAATAATAATAAGATAAAATGAATGAAATTAAAAATTTTATATATTTTTGAATTATTATTTTTAATTCAACACGCGCACGTGTGTCTATGTGTATGTTTGTATGTGTGCAATTTTGATTAATTAATTATTTTCAGGAATGTTGAATATGTCTTTAATGTACTGTAATGATATGGGTGTGTTTATTTACAGCCACGCATATGCATGCATATATATGTATACGCACCAGCAGGAATGGTGCCTGCGCTCGGCGCGCGGCTGCTACACATACACACGAAGCGCGTACGCCCGTGCTCCGTGGAGCGCGAAAGAGATCGCGGAGCGGAAGGGAGAAAAAATAGTGGGGGCAATTCGATGTTCCATCTTTAACGCAAGACGCGCGATGGAGAAAAAAAGCATAATCAGATATGATACCGATTTCGGTGTCCCTTCGCTGTCTTACACACTCGACGCTAGTGCAAGTGAGAGATCGTGGTGTCTCTATACGTTTTTCTTTCTTCCATCTCGTTCTGATTAATTATTGATTATTTAATAATTATTTATTTATTTAATTGATTGTTTTAATATGATTATTAATTGTTTAATTATCGCGTAATAATTCTTTTATTATATATTTTAAAAAAAGTTATGTGTAAAATTATAACCATCATTGCGGATTTTGATATTAAATGTCTTATATCTATCTGAAGAAACCGAATTAAAAATTATTAAAAAAATAATGAATTCGCGAAATTTTTTTATTATTTTTTAAAATAATTTTTAATATTGGCTATTAATAATCATATTAAAATAATCAATTAAATAAATATTATAAATAAATATTAAAACAATCAATTAAATAAATAAACGTCAAATAATACTTATTTTAATAATTATTTTCATATTATTTTCACATTTTTATTTATAATAACTTTTTATTATTATTGAATATAATCTTCCTTATTTTTTAATACAGTTTCGCGAATTCATTACTTTATTAAATAATTTTTAATATCGGCTGCTTGAGATAGCTGTAAGACATTCAATTTTTTCGTTCAAACGTAATGATAGTTATAATTTTACACATAACTTTTTTATAAATATTAGGTGTACAAAAAAGTTTTGAGCTTTTTTTTGTAAAATTCAATCTTTATTCAAAAACAAACAAAAAAATATTAATCAGCGAAATATTTCCCGTTTGCATCGACCTTTTGCCATCTTTCGGATAGCTTGCGAATTCCTTGACGATAGAAGCTCACAGACTTCGAAACGATAAAGTCATCAATGCATTTTCGTATCTCTTCAAATCTTACGAAATGTGTATCAGCCAAATGATGCTGTAGCGATCGGAATAGGTAGTAATCGGAAGGCGCCATGTCTGGGCTATACGTCGCGTGCGGGAGAAGTTCCCAGCCTAACGCAAAGATATGGTCCTGAGTCGCTTTCGCAACATGTGATCGAGCATTGAAGCAAGATCATGAAGCAAGATCACTTTACGACGTCCTTTGCCAGTAAATGGTCTCTTTTCTTCTAACGCATCACTCAAATTGGTCAATTGTTGTTGGTAGCGGTCTGCCGTGATTGTTTCACCCGTTGTAACACAACACACCTTTCCAATCCCACCAGATACAGAGCAAAACCTTCTTAGCGTGGATATTGGGCTTTGGCGTCGATGTCGAAGGTTGACCAGGGTCAACCCATGATTTTCTACGTTTAGGATTATCATAAAGAATTCACTTTTCATCGCCTGTAATGATTTTGTGCAGAAAATCTTTTTTCCAGAACTTTGAAAGCAAAGTGAGTGCAGTGTCACGCCGATGATTTTTGTTGTCTTCGGACAATTCATGCGGAACCCATCTTCCTTCGTTCTGAACCTTTCCCATCGTATGTAAACGTATGGAAATGGTTTGCTGCGTAACGCCAAGCTGTTCTGCAAGCTCCTTTTCAGTTTGCGCAGAGTTTATATCCAGCACTGCTTGCAATTCGTCCGTTTCAATCTTTTGAGGGCGTCCAGCACGCGGTTCATCTTCAAGACTAAAATCTCTTTGGCGAAATTTTTGATATCATCTTTTACATGTAGTATGACTTACAGCGTTCTCTCCATATGCAGCAAATTATTGCAGTGGCTTCAGCAGCATTTTTCTTCAGATGAAACGCGAAGTGGATGGAAAATCGAATATGTTCTTTTGTTATTGCCATCGTGAACACTACTGATTTTTTGAAGTTATGTGCATCAAACGCCAAACCGTATGGCATTTTAGAAGGCCAAATGTCAACTTTAAAACCGCAAAAGGGCGGGAAGATATATAAAATTTAAATTGTTATTTCGGTTGTATGAAATCTAAAGCTCAGAACTTTTTTGTACACCTAATATATATACACTATATACACTATATACACAACTATTCATGCAAAATCGTTTAACAAAATATTTATCCTTATGAAAGACAAAATCAAATGTATAATCTTCAGAAAGACAGTGTAATGCTTGCAACCTAGCGTTATCAAGCTTTATTTTCTTGTTTTCTTCTCGTAAAGTTATTTGATCTGTTAATATTTCTTTAGAATGTTTTATATAATTACTTTGAGATTGAATTGTTCATGTCTGAAGTCAACTTAAAAAAAAGGAAACAATATAAGTCATTGTTATTAATTATATACACATTATTCATATGTGCTGCATAATATTTTACAAATATTTTTAAGAACAGGGTACATTGAATTTTTAAAAATCTATTTACTAAACACTTTGAAATAATTTTTTATCATATTTAATGATAAAAACTATGAAATTTTACATATTTTAAGTCACGTTATAAATAACAATAATCAGTCAGTGAAATATACAAAAAAATTATTATTTTTGTTAAATCGATACTAGAAGCTCATATAGAATTTTAAAAATCTTCCATCGACAAAAATTTCTCATCATCAGAAAACCCAAATATTTTTTTTAACAGGTGTTTAATGATTTATGTTTTTAAGATAATAAAATAATATATTTAATAAAAAAATTATTGTAATATTTTTACGTTTTAAAATATTATAGGTTATATAAAATAAAATTCTTACTTATTCAAAAAACTTTGATATTAATATTTTTAATGTGTTGAAAAAAAATCCGATTTTTTGCCAGAATTGATGATATATTTTTTATGTTTCCTGTTCTTAAATATTTGATGATGTACTACATGAATGTAAATAACATTTTAATTTAAAATTTTCTAATTACAATTCAATCATCAATGAATATAAAAAATAATATTAATGAAGAAATTATTTTGAATATTTCACGGTCACGTTCTCTTCGTTCCCTTCGTTCCATAATTTCTAGATGTAATTTATGAGAGGTCATTTTTTTAAGTTATGATGCGCTTGTTTTTTCTGAAATATAAAAAATACATGAGTTTAATTAAAAAA